TCGACACTATAAATATGAGTTCTTTAATTGTATACTTAATTGGAAAAATCTCATCGATGCCCAATTAAGTGAAAGGGACCTGCTCTAATATTATGATGTAACCGAAGTTTCGTATTAGTATTTTAAACGTTCTTGTTACTAAAATAAGGCGCTATAAATTACTCAAAATAAGTATCATTCCATTAAGTTTCTCTTTACCTTTGGTAAGGATATACTTTGAAGTGTTTGAATTAGAATTCATTAAAATGCACATTTACAACGTATTTCAATTAATCTACTCATTAAGGGTGGTAGGTAGGCTCTTGAGGCATAACTTAAATAATTTTGCTATTTTTTTTATTACCATAAAATTCAACTAAGCAATAACTTTTGAATCAATAGGTAAACGAACGCTGAACGCTTTGAAATTTTCCGAAACTTCCCTTACGAACTTTTAGAATAAAACCCCGAATCTATGAATTTCGACAACTGGGAGATACTCGTATAATTAATTAACTCAATTACTATTTAGAACGTAGTCACAAAGAAGACTTGAACGAACCGCTTTAAAAAGCACCTCGAATCGGTATGTGTACTTATCTCAATTAATTTTTAAGTATTACGGTACGGCACCTTTCATAAGTCTTTCCTCAAGCAGGTGCCAAAACAAATTTGTAAATACCTATAAGTTTTATGTAAGTCTCGAACAACTTTAACATTCCAATTTAGTGACTTTTTTATATAATTTGACATCAAAATTATTTTGTTCGTTTTGTATTTTTACCTATATTTATTTTATACTGTTTAATAGTTCTTACTTAGTTGTGAATTTGTGAATATCATTAAATGTAAGTTAGATATTAAAATGGTTACCATTATTGTAGGGTAGTAGGTGAAAATCACTACAAGTGCCGGGAAAGTGGAATGGTTTTAGTAGATAATAATAGGTATTTAACAATACATCACGTATGCATCTAGGTTGATTATCACAAATGATCGTATGTTCTTAGTAAGTTTAGTATTTATGGATTTGATCTTATCAACGATATCTGGGTGAAACGGTAGTAAGAAATTATATTTTTTAATAACAAAAAACTGCATTACAAGTCTATAAGTATTCTAGTGACTTAGCGGCCGGTTTCTTTACCTAATACTTGCAACCAAAAACCTTGGTACAATCATGAATGAAAAGCCGTTAAGATATCATTAACAAAAAAGTTATAAAAAGAGAATGTGGATTTTTTAAAAATTGCCTACAGTAACATTCATTATTATAGGTTCCCTAGTATCGCGGGAAACTTCTGGAGTATAGCCACAAAATTCAAAAATTCAAAATTCAACATCGTTTATTCAGTCTAGGCTATTACAAGCACTTGTGAATGTCGAAAAGCTACGCAATCGGTTCGCAAATCTACGGCGGGAGACCTTGTACTGAGAAGAACCGGCAAGAAACTCAGCAAGGGCTGTTTTTTTCTCCCTGTATTATATTATTACTAGCAAACCAGTGAACCAAATGTTCACCAAAAAAAAAATGTATTTAATTAATTGAGAACTTCGGAGATTTTGTGTGGTTTCGTTTGAAATAGAAATCACGTGATTTCTCGAAAACCGGAAGTGCTACGTTACTCACATCCGGTTTGTAGTCTTATCAGACTATTCTTAACTTAACCATTAACTTAAACATTCTCTATATCTATCTCTTACGGTTTGGCCGCTGAAACAGCACCACGGACGGACGGACGGACTTGTCTAATAGATAAGAGATTACAGACAAATAAACTTGCGCAGAAGACGTTGTTGTATCTATAATTGCTATTGCGCAGGCTTCCTTGTTTATGTTAGATGCTCAAAAAGTTTGTAGGGTTGTATAGCTGAACTAGCTTGATTTAAAAAAAAACATTGCAGGTTTACTTCAGATATCGTTGGATCTAAGCGTTAAACATTATAAGTTTATACAATAGCTTCGTTATAGCTATTTCCTTGCAGTACAAGTGATTTATCATATTAATTGTAATGGTTTAATAATGCGACTAATTAAGGTATTCGACTTACTAATTTTATACCTTTTAAAGGCCTAAATAATTTTTGACGATTCGTGGATTTCGATAAGTTAAGTTTAGTTTATAATTAAATACTCACTTGCAATAAGTTTTAGTAAAGTTTGTTTTACCTTAAGATGTTTCGCATAGCCATAGTTTTCTTGCAAAAGTATTAACTTCGATTGCGTTTCCTGAAAATTGCATTTTAATATGAGTCCATAAGAAGCTGTTATTTCAATTAAAATTCCTTCATACATTATAATATGATAGTGGCGTACATTTTAATATGGTTTGTTTTCGATTGCTTTAATTTACTCTGAAAATAATATCATCCATATAATATCGCATCGAAATGTTATGTAAAAAAATATTGGACTAAGTACTATTTTAAAACAAATAATTATTGGAGTGATTAAATATCCAATTGACATTTATAATAAACGAAATTGATAATGTAATTTTAAAATAACAAAGGAGCTCAATATCACTATTATAAAATAAAATTTGTAGAAAACCATTACTTAGCTGTCCATTAATTTTCTTTTAGTTATAATTAAATTTATGTTGTGTTTGAACATTCCCAAATAATTTTAATAATTGGTTTTATAAAAGCTGGTGTAACAAAAAATGTTTTAATTATATATTTTTTACTTTTGTCAATCATAGGTAATAAATATGATCCTATTTCGATTAATATTCTGAGCTAGTATACAATAATTTTATTCCAAGTAGCTCAGTAGTTAATATATCTGATTAATAATGCACTATGTATATGTAAATAGTATGTAACTATGTACTTATTTATAATGATATGTAAAGACTACAGTCTGATCGAAATTAAATCAATTCACGCGTGTGAATATAATCTCTATACTATTAGATACTAGTGCACCGTTGATAGAATTATAACACTTTTGTATTCGAAATTTATGTGAATTTCTTTTTCACAATATTTTAAAAAGGCAACGTGACTGCCCTAGTCATATATTGTTGAACTATTAAAAATATTTAGGTTTTTTTGTTCTACTTAAACTTATATCAAAATCAAATGTGTGATTTTATTTAGTGAGAAAAACATTTGATAAATAAAACAAAGTTGATGAACGACATAATTTATTTTATTTCCATTGAAAATTCTTGCTCCCTTAACCATAGTTTCCCTTTTGCCTTTATAGGAGTAAAAAACTGAGAAAACTATTGAAACATTATATTTAAGAGAGAAACACATAGCCATTGAGTTGCTGTGAAACAATTGGTCATTATTTTAAAAGACGTTTTCATCTTTCAAATTCCATTTCTTTTTTATTAAAAATACCTAAGTATATCTTAGTATACTTAGGCCATTTTTGTTTGTTTAAACAAACAAATAAATAAGGAAATGGCTCATTAAAAACTGGGTATAGCTTTATAGTTGATAAACATTGGGTTTTCTGTTCAATATAAAAATTCATAAAATATAGGTTCTAATAAATTATCAAAATATCCATAAAGCTTTCAAACAATGTGAGTTCTTGGTCAAAGCATTCGATTATTTTACACAATAATTCAATTTCAGTCTTAAAGTATTACTCGCTCGGAGTGACACTACTACATTACACCACATAATTAAAAATTGTTAAACTAAATTTATTTTATTCAATTAATAAAAAAGAGTTAAAGTACATATATCACAAATCAACTGGAGTGCCAGTATTATTATTACTTTTTAAAATAATCTTATTAAATTCTAAAACTTGTGATTTGCTTTTAAAAAATAAATTAATCTATATTATTATATTAAAATTGTATGTTTTTAGCTTCGATCAACATTTCTATAGATAACGGTTTGCATTCGAAATCAAAGCTGAAAACTGTCCGCGTATGTTTAAACTTATGCAGCTCTACATTGGATTCCCAATGAACAAAGATAAATGTTTTAAAACAGTTTAAGTTGAACCTAATAACAACTATCTCTCAAAGGAATAAGGTTACAAATAAGAATATGTTATGTCGCACATACGACCTTTTATCTTATAAAACGAACTCTTGTGCCTTTTATAAATTATATCTGAGACTTGGAAAAAAACGATAAAGGTGAAAAAGGGAAAATGTGAAATCAACCTTATGACCCACAAAATAAAATATGTTTACCAGTCATTGGCCAGCGAGTTACTTAGTTTTGTATTAACCGAACTTATTTAAAACTAGTGGCCCGCCCTCGCTTCGCTTCGGTGTAGAGCTGTAGTGTAAACTATATTTTGTTCTCAGGCTTGTGCTATAAACAATGACTTTATTTATATAATTACACGTGTTATAGTGAGTCAACCATAAAAGATAGACATGCTGTTGCGAGATATTTTTTAGACAATTTTATGTAGAATATTTCCGTCATACATGATTTCTATGTAACTTTAACCATTAAGGCTGCACACGCGACGGAAGCTTAAAAAATGGAGTAACTTCTCCCGTTTTCCCAACATTTCCCTTCACTACTCTGCTGCTATTGATTGTAGCGTGATGAAAAGTATACTATAACCTGCCCAGGAGTATGAATAATAATTGTACCAAGTTTCGTTAAAATCCGTCGAGTAGTTTTTGTTTCTATAAGGAACATACACACAGACAGACAGACAGACAAAAATTTTACTGATTGCATTTTTGGCATCAGTATCGATCACTAATCACCCCCTGATAGTTATTTTGAAAATATATTTCATGTACAGAATTGACCTCTCTACAGATTTATTATAAGTATAGATATAGATAAAATGTCACGCCTCAAGTGAGGCTATATTTACCGAGACGGATTTTACGCGCTGAACCGTTATCTATAGAATAGTTGATCGAAGGTTTTTTGAGTCAAAGCCAACAAACACTGGTACAAATCGATATGTATATGGAAAAATCACCATTTTAAGTTACACTTAAAAAACTAACAGTAATAGAATAAGTCAGCATTAATTAAATATTATAGAGGAACTGAGATTACTAATGTATTTGTAATCAGTGGTAATTACCACTCATTTTGATTTTGATGAAATTCCCAATGACTTTTATAGCCCTAAAGGCATAGTTTGGAGACAATCTTTGCCTAAGAAGGTAGTATCCCGAAAGATTCATGGCAAAAAGTATCAGCACAAGGATTCCAAAGTCGACCCAAAAGGAAACTCCAGTCATCCCCATTAGCTTCACGAAATAACTGTAAAATAGAAAAATAATACTTAAACTTTGTTTAACGAATCGATGTTGTTTAAATCGCCAAAAAAGTGTGCTAAATTCAACTTTAGATGTATTTATTTTATTAGTAAAATGTCTAGACATCACAAATAAATTATTATTATTGTTACCTATATTAATTCAACGATATTTATAAGTAAATTATTATTTTATTCCTAAAACAGATCTCTTTGAGGATCGGCTGGAGAAGGGTTTGAGCTCATTCTCCACTGAGCAGGTGAATTTTTATTGTTCAATCTTTAGACGAAAGAACTTTCAATAATATATAGTGAAAACTCTGATCACTTTATTGTTTACCATTTAGTTCAGCAAGGTAGTTAGTAAGCTCTAATGCCGTTTTACAAATTATGTTATTGGAATAGTTGAGACGGTCAATTGTTAATGTCCATCCGAAGTTCACACCTAGGTAGCAATCTGAAACTTAAATCAAGGGCATCTGAGTTCATGAACCTTGACATCCTTCTATTTTTTTATTTTATTTTTTATATATAAAGGTACATTAAACAGCCAAAGGCCATCAAAAATGTACACAGCTGGAATAACATAAGTAAACCTTAGTTACCAAAAAGTATAGATGGCAGCTACGAGAACCTTGATGCCGTTCTGCTTACAATCTGAACCCTACGCCGATGGTATCAAGGCACATAACACATCTAACGTTCTTGTTCTCGCAGTAGTCCAAAGTATAGATGACAGCCACGAAAACCTGGATGCCATCCCGCTTACAATCTGAACCCTACGCCGTTGGTATCAAGGCACATATCTCACCTCACGTTCTTGTATTCGCAGTAGTCCATAGTATTGATGGCAGCCACGAAAACCGCGATACCATTCCGCTTACAATCTGAACCTTACGCCGATCCCTATGGCCGCTTATAATCTGAACCCTATGCCGATGATATCAAAGCACATATCTCACCTAACGTTCTTGTACTCGCAGTAGTCTACACTACAGATTGCAGCCACGAAAACCTCGATACCATTCCTCTTATAATCTGAACCCTAGGCCGATCCCTATGGCCGCTTATAATCTGAACCCTATGCCGTTGGTATCAAGGGACATATCTCACCTCACGTCCTTGTACTCGCAGTAGTCCACAGTATAGATGGCAACCAAGAGAACCACGATGCCGTACCGTTTACAATCTGAACCCTATGAAGATGGCATCAAGGCACAGATTACCTATAATTTTAGTGAAAAAAATCCACTCGCTCCAGATTTCAAAAAGGATTCAAACCTGATCTTCCGCTTTCCGCCCAGAATCTTTTCTAGTAAAGTAACAAAGTGGATTTATTTCTACTAAAATTTTCTTTAGATTTAAACATCTAGCAGTTAAATGCTTATATGTAAAAGAAATATAATAATCACCCGACGTTCTTGTACTCGCAGTAGTCCACATTGTCGGGGCAGGTGAGGTCGTGGCGCGGGGGTCCGTAGATGGCGGCCACAAGTCCCTCAATGCCGTACCGAAGGAAGGAACAGGATCGAGCCAGTTTCCATACAAGAGGGGGCGGGATGTCCCCGTAACCGATGCCGTATACAGCGAGCAGCATGAGAGGAACGCTGATCGCTGGGCCGAGGAACACTGAGTTCTGAAACAAGAAAATAAGTTCATCATCATCAGCCTATTAATTATAACAAGTTGCGTGATTAAAATTGGCAAAATGCCGTTGTGGAAGTTTACTAACTAACTGTACTCAAAATATAGGATTTTTTAAAGTTGATCCTTATATTTTTAAACATATAACCGCCCAGATTCTGAAACGAATTCTGACGGAATGGATTTTTTCCAGTAAAAATTTTATTACTTTTTTTAATAAAAAAAATGTTGATGTCTTTTTCTTAGCAAAGGAATAAGAATCTATACAACTTCTATTTTATGTATCTGAGTACGTCCATTAGAAAGAGCTACTGTTGACCCATTAAGATTAATGGATATTAATGGGTCAACAGTAGCTCTTTCTGGTACGGTAAGTTTGTGCGGATTAAAGTTTCAAGAGGAAAATAAGAGGTTTCAAGATTAAGAGGAGACATCAATGTACGAAAATATGTAGATATGAGGGCTCTTATCACAGAACACAAACTGTTCGGTGGCTATCATGATGCATATGGTGGTAAACAAGATTACCCTATTGATCTCCATCGGCTAAGAAGTAAGTGGGTAGATTATGGGAATAAATACAAAGTAATGTAAATAAATATACATAATAAAAGAAAAAACGATGATTTTGAAATAAGTAAAACACTTTCCACTACAATTAACATCGACGATATAACGGTGCCTCTGGACTCTGATATCAATGCAATCATGATACATATTGTCGTAAACATCAGCACCCTATTTATCTCCATAGGCTGTGACGTCAGAGGATAGGTGATGGCGATATAGGCCTTAGTAATGATAGTATGTAAGTAATAAAAAAATGCTGATAATACTAACCACGACATTTAACATCGACGATATAACAGTGCCCATGGACTCCGATATGAGCGCTATCATTATGCATATTGTCGTAAACATCAGCACCCTACTGATCTCCATAGGCTGTGACGTCAGAGAATAGGTAATGGCGATATAGGCCTTAGTAATGATAGTATGTAAACATTAAAAAAATGCTGATAATACTAACCACGACATTTAACATCGACTATATAACAGTGCCCCTGGACTCCGACATGAGCGTTATCATTATGCATATTGTCGTAAACATCAGCACCCTACTGATCTCCATAGGCTGTGACGTCAGAGGATAGGTGATGGCGATATATGCCTTAGTAATGATAATATGTAAACAATCAAAAAAATGCTGATAATACTTACCACGACATTTAACATCGACGATATAACAGTGCCCATGGACTCCGATATGAGCGCTATCATTATGCATATTGTCGTAAACATCAGCACCCTACTGATCTCCATAGGCTGTGACGTCAGAGGGTAGGTGATAGCGAGGTAGATCAGACTGAAGAATATGGTAGCCGGAGTGCGGGACACGACCAACGCCGCGTAGTAAGGCTTCAGGCCGTACCAGCGGTTGAAGTATTCGCGCTTCACCAGCTGTACCTCTTTGGGAACTGGAAACAAAACGACGACATTGTAATAAAATTACCGTACTAATAATAGTATAATAGTTATTTATGACTAGCTGCCGTCCGCGACTTCGTACGCGTGGAGTTAGTTAATTGAACATACTTTTTGATCCCAAAAGGAGGTTTATTTCTAAAGATACATTATTAGTACACCTCTAACACCATCTATAGGGCATACATGTTAAATTTCAAGTCTCTTACTTCAAAAACTTAAGACTTTCATACAAACTTCCAATCCCCGTATTATCCCCTTAGGGGTGGAGTTTCATGATAATAAGTAGCCTTTAAGTTGACTCGACTTCTTAATAATATTTCGGGCGTACAAACCACTCGGCCACGAAGGTCGGGAATATGTATAATATACAGTAGTCGCGTATGATGTGTAACATTTGAAACCGCACCTTATATTAGTAAAAAAAGAAATAAAACCTACTACAAAAGGAATAAGCCATTTGAACATTATGTTCTAAAATCAAATCAAATAGCGCGCGCTTTCCAAACTTCCTGTTACACACTTCCGTCCCACTTCACGTTATCACTTCCACAAATTGCACGAAAGCGAGAGGAAAGATGTTACACATCATAAATATTTTACTTACATGCAAGTAGAACCGGCATCATCGGTATGTACAGCATGGCGATGATGCAGGCGTAGCAGAAGCCAAAGTTGAAGATGGTTTTGGAGGCATCATACCCCATCCGGTAGAATAAAGTACCGACCAAGAAACCAAGGAACACATGCAGACCCACCCGTAGCCAAAGGTAATCCTACGAAAAACAAAACAATGTTGTATTTTAATTTTTGAGCATTTAACTGCTAGGTGTTTAAATCTTGTTTCGTGTGCCCGGCCTGGCGAGATGAGCGCCGCGATCTGATCGCGGCGCTCGGCGGAGGAGGCCTCACGCTGCCAAGTATGGTAAGAGTCATGCTTGGTAGTGAGAGAGCCTGGAGGGTTGCCGCCTCCTTATGCGAATCTGTGATGGCGCAGTGGAGAGGGAGCGGGAGGAGGACGCTCTAGCCCCCCCTCTCCGGCGTAGACGGGTGGGCCGAAGGAGGCAGGCAGCGGTGACTGCCGGTCTTCGACGGCCCTAAGGTGGCCTGGGCGCGGCCTGACCAGCCGCGCGCCCAAGGTGCCGCTCCGGCATAGGCCACCACGTCTGGGGACTGCCTAGTACCCTAGCGCAGTCCCCCTGAGGCGCGTCGCCCGGTCCACTCGTGGACCGGGCCTGCCCGGGGGCGTGCTCGGAGATGTGGCGCACGCAGGTGCGTCGGCCCCGAGACCGCCCCCATATGGGCGCAGGAGGGTACCGGGGGGTTTTAGTGGAGTAGGATCAGTGTGGCCTTCCGCACTGGTCCTGCTTGAGTAGGGTCGGCACTGTTTCCCGTGCCGGCGAGTCCCACACACGCCGTGCGCCTAGTCAGCGTCACGGTATGGTGCGTAACTGCATTTCCCCTCGTCACAAAAAAAAAAAGGTGCTTAAATCTAAAGAAAAGTTTACTAGAAAAAAAACCACGCGGACCAGGCAGCAGACGGGTCTCGGACCCGCACCCTTCGCTATCCGGGCGAATCCACTGACCATTATGCTACCGCGGCCCTGATGGCCGAGACAAATTTTCTCTAGTGTTTCTTAAGTTGCAAGGCAGCGCCATCTTTTCGCATTAGAAGACGTTGCTTCGAACCAACTTTCAAGATTCTGATTTCACGGTAGGTTTTGATTCCCTTGCGAGTTTCGAAAATTTTCGGTATAAACGGCTGTTTCTCTTGATTGCGTTGGCTTAGAAGTTTGATTTTTTCACAGCTCCAAGGGACGGTAGACTTGAGTATTTGGTATAAATTTCAGCTTGATACTTCCACGAGTTCCCGAGAAAAATGGTCTTGACAGACGGACGGACGGACAACAAAGTGATCCAATAAGGGTTCCGTATTTTCTTTTCGAGTTACGGAACCCTAAAAACCACAATAACTTATGACTAGATTAGTCTACTGGCATCCAATGACATAATTAATATATTGAATCCATTGATATTAATCGATAATAGCGTCATTTAAACGTAACGTAGCCACTTTTATCACAAATTAGTAGAACGGGTCCTGCCATCTTCGAAAACAATTATCTATTGGTTTGACAACACTATTCAGGATTGAAATCCGCTCGAAACTGTATGAGAATGCCGGTAATAGAAATAACACTTTATTCTTAGCTGGCTCTGTATGAGCGCAGCGATTTCGGACTTTATGCTATTCTGCGATAAATGTATTAGATTAAAAATTACCCTATTCCTAACAGTCTGCAGCAGCATTCTTCGCAGCAGCACCAAGAACTGCTGGCACGCCGTACTGCCATGTTTATAATTGTGAGCCTCCACTCCTCCAGCATTGAGCTGCTCCAAGTCCAGATCTTCTTCTATACTGGACACAGTTTCGACGGTGTAGTCCCTCCATCGCTGACATCTTCCGTTCTCTACGGCTGCCACCATTCTGTCAGCGTGGGAACCGTATTCACCACTGGAGACCTCTATGACTGAAATAAACAAATACTGTACTGTAACTTTTAAACATTAAACTGCTAGATCTATAAATCTAAAGAAAATATTGCTAGAAAAAAATCCACTCGATCTAGATCTAGATCCAGATCTTGTCTGATACCTGGACGGAATGGAATAAATAAATACATTGCTCAGTGAAATAAATTAGTTTATTTTTAAGGATGTTTTTATATTGAATGGATCAACTCAAGACTGCATTTCCACATTTTCACAAAAATAATGTTTTAAATAGGAGAGGGAACCACGTCATCCAATCCACTGGCAGGAAATAAAAGCGGCAAATTTGACGATCCCCGTCGTGTGCTTGCGTTGCTAGGGTATTTAAACTTATTGAAATCAACCGGGCTGTTTTTCGGGCATCATCGGGAAAGGTACTACACCAGCGGCGCATCGCCCGTTAGCGATCAACATACACGTGGTCGAACTCTGCGAACAGCAGGTGGAGGAAGCCACGTCGTCTAAATTGCTATTGTTTGTGTTGCTAGGGTATATATACTCACTGAAATCGGTTGTAAGTCTTCCGACATGGCAACTGAAATTTTCTAGGAAGGAACTACAGCGGCGGCGGTGCTTTGGTAAGCGCCTCACCCGTTACGACCACAAACACGTGATCGAACTGAGACCGAACCGAAACAAATGAGGACTGTTTGTGTTTCTAGGGTATAATTATTTACTGAAGTCAGCTAGGATGAACTTCTTCGGCATGGCAGCGGCAGCTCCTCCAGAAAGGGCACAAGAAAAAAAAGCGGAAAATTTGACAATTTGTGTTGCTAGGGTAGGGCTTACTGAAATCAGCCGGGTTGTAAGTCTTCGGGTAAGGCAGCTGCAGCTCTTCTAAGAAAGGTCTTACACCGGCAGCGGTGCCCTGGTAGGCGCATCGCCCATTAGCGACCACATACACGTGGTCGAACTCTGCGAACAGCAGGTGGAGGACGCCACATCGTCTAAATTGCTATTGTTTGTGTTGCTAGGGTATATATACACTCACTGAAATCATCCGGGTTGTAAGTCTTCGGACATGACAACTACATTTTTTCTAGGAAGGAACTACAGCGGCGGCGATGCCTTGGTAGGCGCCGCACCCGTTACGACCACAAACACGTGATCGAACTAACTGGAAACAAATGAGGACTGTTTGTGTTTCTAGGGTATAAGTACTTACTGAAATCAGCTGGGATGTAAGTCTTCGACATGGCAGCGGCAGCTCCTCCAGAAAGGGCACAAGAAAAAAAGCGGCCGACGATTTGTGTTGCTAGGGTATTTAAACTTGCGTATCGGGTGACGTTGCAGGAGTATTGTCTTTTTTTAGTGGCCCCGTTGAGGGCGTTAGGTAGGACCCTGTTTATTTCATCCGGCCACAAGGCTGGCTGAAATTAACAGGGAGGAGTCCCACATACCTTCTTCTCGCTCCCCCAGTGGGTGAAGGATGCGTAAGGTATTTCCCAGTCACAAAAAAGGGTATTTAAACTTACTGAAATCAGCTGGGTTGTAAGTCTTCGGGCAAGGCAGCTGCAGCTCTTCCAAGAAAGGTACTACACCGGCGGCGGTGCCCTGGTAGGCGCATCGCCCGTTAGCGACCACATACACATGGTCGAACTCTGCGAATAACCGCGCTGACGGCGTGTGCAGAGAACACACTACTGTACGACCGCCGCGAGCAACGCGCTTCAGTAGCGACACGCAGGTAGAGGATGCCACGTCGTCCAAACCACTGATAGGAAACAAATGACGAATCAAAATGAGTGAAAGAGGGTGTTTAGGAAAATTTACGTTACTAGTTGGCGCCACTGAGACAAAACATCTTAAGTATGAAGTTTTTGGCGTGACTTTTTTTTTGAGTGTGTATGCTGCTGGACGCGGATGACCTTTATAGCGTCACCGGGTTTGGGGACGACGAGATCCTAAGGGGACCTCAAGCCGAGAATTGCCGAGTGCCTGTCGAGGTATTCCAGGCGGATGGCATCTCCCCACGGGGAGAGTCTCCTCTCCGTCTGGAACCTCTGGACCACTAGAACCTGAGGGTCGGCTCAACTAGAGGGCGTCTCTGAGACTCGGACTTCGGCTCTAGTTAGCCGTTGTCGCGGGGGTTTTGGCGTGAATTAATCAAACGAGTATTTAACCTTTCGTCTCAGTGCTACCACCTGGAGCCCGTCATTCCAGAAAACCCATAGAGCAACACGGAAGAGAGTAGCCATAGCGAGATATTAATATTTATACCATTTAGTCATTTCTTACGGAAGGGAATATGCACACAAAAAGCAGTTTAACGTACACGCATATAAAACAAAACTGTAACTACGACACTCACACATAAACAATGACAGAATATATCTTCAAATCCTGCACACACGTATCGTTTTTATGCCTAATTTGTATGCCCAACCCGAAAGAGGGGAAAGCTGTGTATTCCTACTCTTCTCCTGGCCACGTCGGCCGCGTTGTTGTATGAGAAAACCCTCAAAGATATAGTTTTGTTTGTGAAATTATCTGTTGATTGTAAGAGAGCTAGTGCTAGAGGCTGCAAAACGGAAGTCAAAGAATCATATGACAAGCCTGATAGTAAACCGGCGCCATAGAGGTCCAAAACAATCCTACAGTAATGCTCAACTTTGATTAAGTAGATACTTTTGAGTCACTGTAACATTTCCAGCGTTTTTAAATAGTTATAATTTACACCTACTTGTAATTTTTTGTCACGTTTATTTTTATTTAACACTATGTCAACAAGGAAATCCATTAAAACAGCAGAGTCAAGGCCAAATGTAATGTTGGTGTGATATATAATTGCAAAGACAGATAAAAAATACTTATAAAATAACAATATTGATCTTACGTGGTAGGTTCATCAAGAAAGATGACCGGAGGATTGTTCAGCAACTCCAGAGCTATGGACAATCTCTTCCTCTCTCCACCCGAAAGCCTCTCCGTTGCCGTGTGTCTGGCTTTCGTCAGTCTTAGCAGTTGAACTATCTCATCTACCTGAAACATTCGTGACAAAATTCCATTAACTTATTATGTATATTCTTTTGTGTTAGTGCCTATTCATTAGCGCTGAGTTCTCTGTGCTCTGTAAATAGCACAACTACGTAATATAAGTTATTTACGGGATTGTTACCATGTACCTTGTTTTTAGCGAGTTTCCGATATTTTGGCACTGTTGCAAGCGCCATGATCACGGAGTAACTGAAGTTATTTATTGGCAGACATATCGGTCTACCCTCCGACGAAGTCTTTTATTGCGTTCGATACTACACTGTTCACATTCTCACTATTTGCATTGCAACAGTGCCGAAATATCGGAAACTCGCTAAAAACAAGGTACATGGTAACAATCCCGTAAATAACTTATATTACTATAATGTTAGTGACCATGAAGGTTTAAAACAGAATAAGGTATTATTAACGATTAAGATGATTCCTAACGTGATCCAGATGGACCCCTGAAGTCTCAGGTTCATTCTTATTTATTTATGTAATTTTGAGTATTTCTGACGAATTTTGGAAATATGGTGAAATAGCAAGAAATCCGCCAAAACCAGCATTTCAAATTGATGAGCTGACGAACAAAACGGTATAATTACGCATCTGGTCAAAGTACTTTTTTTTACAGTCTCAGGTTTAGGGCCCATTGAATTTGAATCTCAAATATTTTTCAATCAAAACCACCTAAAACAGTGTTAAAATTACTTAATTTATAAATTAAAAACCACGCCAAAAGCCTGTAAAATTTAATTTTATGTAATTATACCGTTTTGTTCACCAGCTCCTCAATATGATCTACGAATAAGCAGGTTTGGAAACTTCATAGATTTATCTGAAACGGCAAAATCCATTACAATCAGTCACAGAGCACTACCATCCGAAAAGTATAAACATGTATGAATTCTTTTCAATTTATAGGCGGATTTAAAGCGTAGTTTAGCTAACTACTTGACGTTTTCGACGATTCTTGGGATAATGGAAACTTGAAAACTGAAAATTTATCGAGATTCATGATCAGAAGAATCCGTCTTGTAGAAATTATGGGAAGTAATTGGTAGTAGTATTAGGATTGCAATGAAATAGTGGTTGCCTTCCACGAAGGAAGAGAAAGGTTTTCCGAAAGCTTCTCGAAAACAATAAACGACCTCTTTTGTAATACTTTTACCTACTGAGCCCATTATTATTCAGTGGACGTTCTTTATATAAAGTCGCAACGGCAGTCAACGGCTCACACTCCAGAGTGGTCTTCTACTGGGCATATTAAAATATACTTTCTTAATAACATCACATTGCCAGTGTGAAAAAGTGAAATTTATTTTAACGAGATAAAATCTTTTAAAGAGTATTAAATATAATTTTTTATTGGTGAAAGATATTTCAAAATCAGTTCGGTGTTTAGAACATCATCGTAAGTAGAGATTGCAATGCGGCGTCATTTTCAATCCGGACGAATCTGACCAGGGGGCCATTCGCCTAACGGAAATGCTTTGGAAAACGCTAACGCTTTCGATTTTATTTTGTTATTTCTGACCGCCGAAGGTTTTCAAATACCTCACGCTCATTTTTTTTAACATTGTTATTACCAATGCAAAAGAAAAAAAAAAGAGCGCGAGACATTTGTAAACGTCAGGCGGCTAGAATAACAAAATGAAATGTGTTCCAAAGCATTTCCGTTAGGCGAATGGCCCCCAGTACCCATTGTATGAACCAATATCGAATTCGTAACGTTTGCGAGTCCGAAATATCATTGTCAAATTTGTATTGATTTTCAGGTCTCCTTACGAACTTTGTCGCGCTGCTGTTAAGGTTTCTCTACAAAATTTGACATTGACATTTCGCACTCGCAAACCGTTCGAATTCGATAATGGTTCGTGCTAGGGGTACAGATTCCCATTGATCCGGCCAGCGGTCGATCAAATAAGAATTATTTTCGCTTTCTAGAGCTTTTTCGAGTCCAATTTGAATTGCTAGTCAACTTTATGTTAGACAATGAGCAAACTATTAAAATCTACTAGTTCAGGTAATTAGTGAAATTTTCACGACGTAATGAATAGGTAACTCAGTCTTTTTTTTCTTTCCCAGACAGTTCAATTATTTTAGTAAATAACTTTATAATTTAATTACTTACTGAAATAACTATCTGATTATTAAATCATATATAATTTACTCAGATGAGAATTAATATCAAAGTATTTAAAAACGCTAACAAATTAGTCATAGATAAATGATTGGTCTCCCTGTGGTTGACGAAAGGGAGACCAATAATTTATCTACGTAAAATTAATCTAATATTGAAATAAAACAAACTGTATTTGTTTCTTAGGTTTTCACGCACATATCACTCATTAAATAAAACTAGTTTTTACGGGTTAATGCACGAAACTTTATTTATTTATTGACGTTTCGCAGCCTTTTCAGGTCTGCATCGTCAGAATAATAATGTAACGTCAATAAATAAATAAAGTTTCGTGCATTAACCCGTAAAAACTAGTTTTATTTAAAACAAACTGATTGAGAATTAAGTTAATTCTGAAGACGCAGCCTGAAAAGGATGCGAAACGTCAAGATAAAAAATAAAGTAGCATATTAAACCTTTGAAGTATTCTTTTATTCAATGACTAGTGTGCGTGGAAACCTAAGAAACAAATCTTATACAGTAGACCCGCGGTAATCCGACAAACGTTTTGCAGGGCGATGTCGGAATACCGAATTTGTCGGATTACAGAGTACTGCCTAAGGGTGCGGCCAGAGTGCACTCAGATTCAGATTCAGATTCTGAAAACAAGCGCGAGAAATAAACAGTGTAGTCGAAGGGTACGGCCAGAGTGCACTCCTGATTCAGATTCAGACTCAGAAAACAAAGCGCGAGAAAAAGCAGGCAACCTGCTTAGACTACACTGTTTATTTCTCGCGCTTGTTTTCAGAATCTGAATCTGAATCTGAATCTGAGTGCACTCTGGCCGTACCCTAAGACCACCCTTTGTAGTCGGAAATTTTTGGAATAAGAGTACCTTATAATCCGACAAATTACAAATCTAAAAATTTATTTCAATTGATTTTATGTGCATACAACAGTGATAGTTGTGTCGGATTACCGGGGCCGCCGGATTAGACGGGGTCCGGATTACCGAGGGTCTACTGTATTTATTTATTTATTTTTAACGTGCCTTCAGAAGCACGGAGCACGAGATAATGAATTTTTGATCACCCATCCAACAACGGGCTATTGTAAAAGTTAAGTTTATTATGCATGTGTTTGTGAGTAAATTAAAACGAGACAGTATCTCTGGCTAAATCAGGCTAGTAAGTAATGAATGAAATATACGAGTATTATAATGAGTCACCTACAAATTTTTCCACGCAGCTATCAACAAACAGGATATTCGCCGAAAACAATGAACTTTATTATATTGTGTGGACAAAATAAGATAATTTTTGATGAGAAAATTTCGTTAGACACGTAGTGAATTTTTGGGATGTGGAAAAAGCACTGAACCCGCGCTACCGTCATGCCCAGAGAAAGATACATACACATAATATATAGGTATATGGAAACTTTTCAAAATTAACAAAGTTAGAAGTAAAAATAAATCATTTGAATAGTTCAAACAAATTTTGCGTTTGATAAGTGTACGATAAAATGTACGAAGGTCGAACGGCCTTCTTTTGCTTGCTGTTGACGAACCCCATTTTGAGATCTGCCGCGATCATTATCGCCTCCTGCATTAAGTGCTTACCTTGGAACTAGACTAATTGGTGTGTGTGTCAGAAAAATTCGGAATATTTTATGAAGTCCGAACGTTTTTGAAGTGAAAACTTAAAAGCGGCGTTGTACACTTTTTTTTGTATGAGTAAAAAATGTTAAACTCGCGTCAGGACACGTGGGCTGATTGCATCATAACACATGGCCTGATCGGAGATCTGACGAAAACAATAAAATTGGAAAGGTTGTTGACTTTCAATATATTGGACGAAACATTGTAATATTTTATTTTATCGTATTATAATAATAAGTCTCTATCTAGGACGTCCAGGTGGCAGCTTTTTTTTACAATAGATGTCGCTAAGTGCGCTTAAATGTGCGCTTAATGTGATTCATGTAAGTTGATTTTCCTGAGAGATAAACTTTTTAATGTAATATAAATTGTCATTTTTGTGTACGATAGCGCAATAAATAAATATTGTATTGGTAGAATTACCACATAAATGATAGTACTTTTATGCTGATAATTAAAGCAATTCGTGCAAAATTATTCCAAAATATCAAAAATGCACAACGTTAATATTCAAGTTTTCACTTGAAACACACAAACACCGGCAGTCCCTCTCGTAGTGCTACCCGTCTTTTTTTGAGTGTGTATGCTGCAGGTTTGGGCACGGCGAGATGCTAACGGGACCTCAAGCCGAGAATTGGCGAGTGCCTCTAAAGGTATTCGAGGCCGATGGCATCTCCCCACGGGGGGAGTCTCCTCTTCGTCTTTAGCCTCTAGACCACTAGAACCTGAAGGGGTCGGCTCAACTAGAGGGCGTCTCTGGCCATCGGCTCCAGCATTACTTCATGCTTACCCTGTGATTAGGCTAATTGGTGCGAGTGTTAGAAAAATATAATAAGATCGAACGCCTACCGCAAGCGCGTTCTTTTGCTTGTTAATGACGGAGCCCAGTTTGAGGTCTGCCATAATAATAAAAAAATAATCGCCTCCTGACTTACAGTTCCTAACTTGACTTTTAATTTTTTTTTTGAACTCACATTGGGAATTGTAATTCATCATCAATCTCTGTTCATCCACTACTGGACATAGGTCTCCCCTAATGCACGCAACTGCTCCCGATTTTCTACCACTCTCATCCAGCACAGCTTAGCATATGCTTTATATCCTTAGCTTAACATAGGCTTTATATGCGAACATCTTTTGCCAACCCTATTTAATGCAAATAAAGAGTATTCTATTCTATTCTTGGAATTAAGCAAATTCATGTGTGTTAGAAATATTATGATAAATGTAATAATATCGAATGCTTACCACAACGGCTTTCTTCTGCTTGTTGATAACCGATCCCAACTTCAAGTCAGCTGCTATCGCCATCGCCTCCTGCACCGTGATGAACGGCTGCAGCAGGTCCTCCTGCATGATGTACCGGGACAGCTTCCGGAATTGTTTGAGATTCCGCGGCTCGCCATTCGTGCAGATTGTGCCACCAGCGCCTGATACTCTGTAAGCAAGGTTTGCTTGTAACTTCATCTTGTAACTCATCCAAATCTCCTAAAAGTAGAACTTTTTATTAGCTGCAGTAAAATGACGTTTTGTGGGTTACCGCTTTTTGAAGAAAAATAAATAGGGATGTAGCTAAGTGAGTAAGTGAATCATTCAATAAATGAATGATTAGTTTGGTTTCGTTTAAGAGATTTAATATTAAGTTGTAATGATTTTTTATTCTATTATTATTACTATAGCAAAGGATTGATCTTTTTATTGGAAGTATCGGTACGTACATCCAAAATTAAACAAAAAGTCATAACAATTTTATTTATTAATCAAATATTTTCGGGATCACTATCGCTGTCGCTTTCGGTCACACTAATGACAAATCTGTCTATCATTTCATCAATAATATGATCGAGGTGGCACATTTTGTCTTTCTCTTTTATAGTGTTAGACACACAGTCACTACACTTAACCGGTGTCACTTTGTTGATTCCTTCTTGGAATAAAGTTTTCACTTATTGCATTTTATATGTTTTATTAATGTTTGCGACGTGCCCCTTTACCTGAGCCCAAACCAACTCGATGGGGTTCAATTCACAGTGATAAGGTGGCAGTTTTAAAGTCTGATACCTTTTTATGCAGCAATCTCGTCCACGGCATATTTCTCAGTATGATTTTGTTGTTTCACAATATCTATGAGAGTGGCCTTCACTATATTTGGTTCAAATGTAATATTTTTAGTGGTCAGCCACTCTTGAATCTAATTGGTTAAAATTCCACATGGGGTGGGAGAAAACATATTATACCTAACGTATAATAAAAAGATTAGTGATTACAGGTAAACTAACTTTTGCGATGGTAGGTACTTCATTTCTATGAAAGAACTGATGTACAATTCGTCTAATATCGGTGAATATGAAATCATCAGCTTTTTTTAAATGTAATTTTTGGGCCAGGTTTTTCGGGAGGTTTTGGTGATTTACAGTCGTTCTCCTTGTGCTCCTTTAAACAAAATAAACAGTGCGGACGGATATTCCCAAGACTTCAGCCATCTTGCTGACGCATACACTTGTTTTTCGAACTTCAATATTTGATTCTGTAGATTTCACTTCAAACACATATTTGTAAACGTTTCTGACCCAAAGTTTCTCGGTTACACTACAGCTACACGTGGCCTTTTTTTCTTAGGAAATAGAAATGTAAATGTAAATCAGGCGGTCAACATTATTTTACGGAATGACATTTTGAAACGTCATTTTACTGCAGCTAATAAAAAGTCGAAGTATAAGTATTTTTAGAAACGAATAGCATTGGACTGTTTTTCCAACTTCCAGGTATGGTGCACCGACACTGCTGTATCACTATAATTGTATTCCTTTGTTGGACATAGACCAAGAACGTGATGAGCTCGTTTGGCCTGCGATAGCGTAAGTTAAGCAACTTTCGCAATGGAGCGACCATTGGATGGGTGACCAAAAACATATTATCTCGAGCTCCTCCGTGCTTCTGAAGGCACATTAAACCATTGGGCCCGGCTGCACCTGCAGTCGTTAGCACCTACCAATCCGCACTGGGCCCGCGTGGTAGGTCACTGCCCGACCTCTCTTTTCCATCCATAGGAGAGACTTGTGCCTCAGTAATGTGACATGAATAGGCCGATAATGAAAAAAAAACTGCTCTTAGCAGTAGGCAAGACTCTTTTTATTTTGGCATTATCTTAGATTAAAACAAAAGGGAAAGATACGGTACGCTCATACTTGCATAAAATAAAATATGCTCCGACTCAGTGCATAAGCAACACTCACACACGCACTCTTCAGTAAATAAACATTCAATCGAGCGAGCGTGACAAAACTGTACCCCTAGCACGAACCCAAATCGAATTCGTAACGTTTGCGAGCCCGAAATGTCATTGTCAAATGTGTACTGATTTTTAGTTCCCGTTACGTCCAAAGTCGCGCTGGTGTTCAAGTTTCCATACAAAAATTGACATTGTCATTTCGGTTTGCAAACTATTTGAATTCGATATTGGTTCGTGCTAGGGATACTGTACGCAAAAAAGAGCGTATTCCTTCCTTAAAGGCCGGTATCGCATTTGTGATACTCCTGGTGTTGCAAGTGTCCATGGGCGGCGGTGATCACTTACCATCAGGTGAGCCGTCTGCTCGTATGCCCCTATAACATAAAAAAAAAAGCGGGAGCAAAACGGCGAGTCCGCGTCGCTAGCGTTTTCTTTTCTCTCTCTACAAACGACTGAGCTTGTATTGTTGTCCTTTTCTTGAAAACAAATGGGTAATTAGTAAATAGCATTCATAACAAACCGTAATTTTTGGGACTAAAATATTTTTATAGTTGTACGAAGAAAAAGTGTTACCGTGGAATTTGTTATTTGATTTTGAACTATTTGTGTTGTTTATAAAAGCATTAAAGGCATTATCTTTATAACACTGAAATACGCAATATTGTTATATTGAGTGCACATGCAGCGAGTTTGCATGTCCAATTGTTACTAAAGCGAATTGTGGTCAGGGTATATTTAATATCGTTGCATACATCACAATTTATGTGGTACACTTTTAAGCTGCGTGTGCAGTATCTTCCCTTTTTGTTTTAATGTAAGTGCATTATCTTAATGACTTGCAGGTCGAATTTGAGTGAAAACTCAGCCCTTCAATTAAAGCAATCTCCAGGTTACAGGCACTGCAGGAAAATAACACTAATCTGCAATATTGTGTAAGATTGATCCAGTGAACTTAGTTACACCCCCATTAAGACTAATGATATGTACATTCTACACGATATATAATTACGACCCTTTACAATGTAGAAGTTATTGATTATATTTGCCATTATTGGTAAATGCATTTTTATGGAATTATACTTAGCGATTAGAAGCGTGCTACGTGCTAGCAAATTACTCGGAACTGAATGGTAATTTGAACTGTACAATGTATGGTATACGTATAATTATAAAGATCACAAGTGTCAAGTCTAAACATCGTCTAGAATTAAGTCAACTCTTTTAAATGCAATATGGAAAAGGCTGTAAATTGTTTCCTCAATTAATTATTTATAAGTACGCATAATAACGCTATAAAATAGGAATGATGACGGGGTAGAGTAAATGAAATTATATCTAGTCCGTCAGTTACAATATCAAAAAATATGGACACTTATTTTTTCTCTTAAAAATGACGAAGATGAAGCGCGTCAAAGTTTGGGAGTAGGAGCTGGAGACGTCACTTCTAAGTAAAAATTGCAAGACGTGACATCATGCGACTTTTCAAATCATTATACGACAGTGGAAAGGCAAATTCGCTTATACGCCACTTTTGTTGAAAATATGTTATAAACGAGCGTGTATAACTAATAATAACTCACTTTCGATATATAATTTTAATCCGATTTTTTTCTGAGTCGATCTGTTTATATTTCGTGAAGATTTCGCTACTTTTTGGCGCATAATCAACTCGGTTTTTTTAAGATTTTTATTGTTCATAACGCTGAAACAACTAAAGCCAAACTAATATCAACTAATTAAGTGTAGGTACCTAACCTGCATTATGTTTTTTATGTTTCTTAAAATTTGAGGTGAAGTAAAACAGTTTAAAATTTTCACTTTCATTAAATAACACCAATTTACACTTTCACTTCACTGCGTCTTACCTGTAACCTGCGAGTATGTTGAGTAGAGTGCTTTTGCCGGCGCCCGAAGGTCCCAGGATCGCAGTCAGCTGTCCCGACTTGAACTCCCCGTTGATGCTCCGCAGAATGATCTTCGAAGCTGTCAAGGAACAAAAAATAACGAAAATTAGAAAGCTTATTTTTATTTTATGCCGGTTTCAAACCCGGGACGTCTGAGTATGCATACTATGTGATTTAGCCATCATTATTGAGCTTGTCTATGATATGCCATAAACAAACAGTATTATTAAAGTGGGTAGCTTAAAATGTAAAAAAATGACTAGTTATTAACTGCTATTAGTTTTACGTGGGACACGTAAATCACTCTTCACGATAACAGATTAACAGTTTTAATAGAATATTATTAACGGTGACATAACAAACGATCTTCAAGTATTATTTATTTATTTATTGAAAGGTACAACTACAGAAAACTCAACTCTACTTTGTCAAATGCCTTAGCGAAATCTATATAAATTGCATCTACTTAACCAGCTTCAAATAAAAATACAAGTGCTTATAAACCAAGCCCTCAAAGATTTTAGCAAAACAGCTGAGTATGCTGATTGGTCTAAAGTTTGTTACATCCATCTTTTCTCTAGATTTATGTATGGGAACAATTGTGGCCATCTTCCACAGGTTAGGGAAACTACCTGTTTTTAAGCTGAGATCATAAATTAAAGAAGGGTCTTCATCAATGCTATTCCACATTTTTTTATAAATATAGGTAGGTGGTACTCTCTCTGGTCCAGCACCCTTAGTAACATCTACAGACTTCAAAACTTCCAACACGTCCTCTTTCGTTATCGTGATAGATGAGATACTTCTGCTCGACTCTTGAAAATTAGGTGTATAGGCTACTGTTGAAGGTTTACTATAAACAGATGAGAAATGTCTCGCAAAAGGATTAGCTATATCCCTTCCATCACTTGCAAAAGTTGAATCATAAAACATTTAATTCGGTAAAACATTTGTATTCATTTTAGATTTAGTATATCTCCAAAATGCCTTAATATTAGTTTCAATACCTTCCCCAACTCTTTCCAAATATATTTTGTAACATCTATCGAATTCTCTTTTCACTCTAGACCTTAGGATAGATATAGATAGATAATTTTATTTTATTTTTATTTTTTTTTAAGCATAATAGGCAATGCGTTTGACCCCAATCTCACCTGATGGAAAGCGATGATGAGGCCTAGGATGGTACACGCCCGTCTAGAAGATGCCTGTTCACTCTGGCCTTGAAGATGTCCAGATTATATTGGTCCGGGAAAACAGACCTCGGCAAGGAGTTCCACTCCCTAGCCGTTCGTATAATGAAGGCCGAAGCAAAACGCTTCGTGCGAATGGGAGGAACTTCGACAACATAAGGGTGGAAGCCCTCGCCGCGCCTGGTCGTCCGGTGGTGGAAAGGGGAAGGGGGGATCGAATTATGTAATACCTCCGCACACTCTCCGAAATGTAACCGATAAAACACCGAGAGGCAAGGTACACGTCTTCAGTGGTCAAGGCTCTGGAGATTAGCCTCAACGAGAGCGTCATTGCCTATGAGTCTCTTCGCACGGTGTTCCACCGAGTCCAGTTACTATGTTATTTACTATGATATTGGTTTTCTTCTTTTAACATTTTAATTAAAGGGCGCGAAAACCACACCGCAAAGTATTGATATAATTAGATACAGGTGTGTATCTGTATTTTTCTATTATTTTCCATAAATGGTCATAAAATATCTGTAGAAAATTGTTGACATCTGAGTTAGTGGCGTTTATTGTTGGGTCGCGGGCTACCAGCAACCTGATGTAGCGCTTCTGAGCAGCTGTCAAAACAGTTGGCAAAACCGCTTCGAGGTCGATCAGCTAAATTACCCATGCCGTGGTACCTCTGCAACGTGGTTACTACACAGGATTGGGATATGGCAACTCTGTGTGCTATTTCTCTTGTAGAATACCCGTAATCTATATATATATAAAAATGAAACCCGTTTTCCGTTGTCACGACATAACATGAAAACGGCTTGACCGATTTGGCTGATTTTTTTTTGTAGTTTTCTAATACTCTGTACAAGGTTCTTACGGAAAAAAAATTGATCAATTCTACCCCCAAGGGGATAAAATAGGGAATGAAAGTTTGTATGAAACTTTGTCAATTTTAAACCGATCGGACTGAGACTTTGCATGCAGGTATAAGAAGAATCATAGATGAATGTCATTATGTATAATACAAGCCTGAGAACAAAAACTGTAGTCTACACTTCAGCTCTACACCGAAGCGAAGCGAGGGCGGGCCGCTAGTAAATAATAATAATAAACTTCCCTCAATGTTACAATTCTGGCTCGTAAAACATCTGATAATCCTCGTGGCATTTTTTAAATCACAACTTTCCGTGAAAAAATATTTTAAATTCGATAATATTGACTAAGTCAGATTTCTGAATGAGTGTCAGCTTGGATTGCATGTGTTTTTATATGGAAAAACAATTGAATTATTTTATTGTTTAAGTTATAATTCTAACTTTAAAATTTAGAATCTTATCAGAAAAAGAAATTACAAAAAAGTCTTCTGTAACATAAAAAACAATCTATTTTTCAAAGTGATCGCAAACTTTTTTTGATATGTGTACGTATTATTGTATACCTATTAAGTGGTCGTTAGCATGCACAAAGGAGTTTAGTACAATCGCCATTACATAAGTAGGTACAATTTGCCATAAAAATCGTCTTATTTGCGGTGGAATAAAAGCTATAACATTAGCATCCATTTGAAGTCCAGCAACGTGCGTAGGGCTTCTTGGCGACGAGCCAAGGACTAATGGCCCTAATACTTTATGCATATTGTACATACTCACTTCACTGCACACTACAATACCAAACGTACCTACCTAATTATACTTTATTATAGAGCGATTCAAACTTGAAATGAAGGCTGAGAAATTATCGCTAGTCGCGGCGCGATAAACTACCGTGCGACCAAGATTCTGTAGCACTAAGATGACATTGACAGTTACCAAACAACAGCTAGTAAAATGTCACTTAAGGGAACGTTATAATTTGCCATAACTCTGAGGGTGCAATAGGAAATATCAAATTATTACTTACAACTTCCGCTATAAATAAAAGGCTTATGTTAAATTTGCTAAAATTAAATCGGACCAGGAAGCAGACGGGACTCGAGCCCGCACCCTTCGCTATCCGGGCGAATGCACCGATCATTATGCTACCGCGACCCTGATGGCCGTGTTCGCTAGAGGCCTTTCTTAGGCTGCAAGGCAGCGTCATCTCCGCAGCCTAAAAAAGGCTAAAGTAAATTCGACACGGCCTAGCACGTTCGAGTCCCGTCAGTTGGAATTTTTTCTAGTAAAATTTTCTTTAGATATAATTTTAGGATATTTAAACATCTAGCAGTTAAATGCTTAAAAAATAAAAAGTACTCCTAAAATTAGATCCTATTTCGGCCACGCACCACAATATCTTGGTCGCACTGTAAATGTAAGGTGATGTAGGGGTGCGCGAGATGTCACTGAAGTGAAACCACTCGCTGCTAATTTCACTACCATCACAATGTTTAAATTACACTACAAAATTGGAGATGCACACTGTACTGATACGATACCGGGATATTTATAAAGTATCAACAGTACCGATGCTTACACTAAAAGCTTTTAAAGGTATAAAAAATAATAAAAGATTTCCAGAGCAACTCCTGCAGTGATTTCCGAAATCACCCTCCATTTTATGACGTATATGTTTATATGCACGACAAAGAAGCAATTCGTGCTTTTCTTTCACTCCTAACATTCCAAAGAAGTTAAGATATCGCATTTGTTTTACATTTCAAAGACATAATATACGATACTATAATAATACGTTACCGTGCCATAATATATCCTATATTAGGTCAGTAAAAAAAAACGAAGTACCTACCAAAGCTTGCCTATCCCACCCACAACTCGTCACGTACCACAAGAATTGCCAAACTTTTGACATTTTGGCTAACCGAACTCTGCTAAGAATTACGCCACCGAATAACTGATCGTTAAGATACAAAATTTTAAAGTGGAATGCAGGCGAGGGCATACTTTCCCGTGCAAAAGGTAGAAGCTAAAATTACTCTTGCTAAGCTAAGCTAAAATTACTTAAATTATTGCTCTTAAATAAAAGTAATAATAATAAGGAGATGTTAAAATATGGACAAATATATATGCGATTCTTTAAAAAAAACACAGATCTCGTGATCTACACGACTTTAAAGGGCATTGAAAATGAAGCTACCTATTATAGATTGTTCAAAAAAAAACAATTGTTCCAAAATATTTTTACATCGTCTTAAAGCCGCCCGCCGCGTGATATCGCACCTCGCGCCGCACAAAACTCGCGGCTAAGGGCACCTCTACAGACTCAATCATCTAAAATGTTCCGTGGTTCAATACCGAGGTGCTATATTTTCATATTTTTGAATTTCAGCCCCGTTCTCGACATATCGGAAGTTTTCTGTGAAAACACACGAGTTTTCGGTCGGATAAAGATGTTTTTCTTCGATTTCCAACAAAAGTTTTTGAATTTTCCAAAATAATTTCTTATAGTCCTTCAAATTCCTCATCTTTTGGGCCTTCATACACGTCCTCGTGGCCCTAAACCTCGGGGTATCACGGGCGAGTCGCACTTTCAGCGAGAATGGGGCGAACGGAAAACATTTTCAATGTTAAAAGTTCTTAAGTATGAAAGCCAAACAACAGATTTATCATTATTTGGCTGCAGTCCTTTGTAAATTACATAAAGGATACTTCACAGACGAAAGAAGGGTGCTCATAATCAAGAAGAAAATCCATGCTTTTCTCACAGAACGGAAGAAAAATAGACAATGGGTTCTAGTCACCTACCAGACTAAACTCGAATCATTATATTTCTAACGCTATACCTAGTAAATCTTTTATTATGTGGCAAAGTTGAAAAAGAAAAAAAGAAGGTGCGAAATATGTATAAAAATCATAAAAAAACGAATGATTAACCTTGAAATACTAGAGAAAGTAAACATTTGTCAATTTGGCACTTTTAAAATGTATTTTACGAGTGCGAAATGTAACTGTCAAATGTGTACTAA